GACATCACCTACCCACCACTGCAGCTCCCAGCACACTGGGGAAACATCACATAACCCCAGGGAGCATCTTCCAGGCTGTCAGAGCCTTTGTAGCTGGGCTAGCTCTGCAGAGTTGCTCCTCCAGCCTTTGGCACTCCAGTTGTAGTTCAGTGTGTCAGGGACTGAGTTGCAGCTGGAGCTGTGCAATTAAGACTTTCTTGTGCCATCCCTCAGTGCTCCTCCCATTCCTGTTTTGACAGCTCAGTACTGGCTGTAGTAGCACTAGCTAGTATTAGCTAGTCTCTGACAGGCTTTTGCCCACAAACTGCATAGACGTTCCCAGAAGGCCTGCAAGAATATTTAACTGCTCTTTGTTCTTTGTGCAGGACAAAAGAAAGCTCCCAAAGTAAGAACTAACTGCTCACTGCTCTGCATGCAGCTATCTTCTGTACCATGCATGCACATCCCTGTCCTTAGAGTAGGAAATAATGCTCAAAGACTCAGCAAAATTGTCCTATTTGGTATCCTGAGTTTCTGTAGTGGAATTATTTTAGAAATAAACAGGTGTCTGGATTTCAGTGCTGTCTCTTTCCTGAAGTCACTGGAGTTGCCCTGGCAATTAAACTGGTCTCCCAGGAGGAGGTGTACATATCTCTAGCTAGCCCTGTAAACTGGCTACTAACTGGGCAGGCAAGGAAGTCACCAACTTACTTAGTTTGTCCACTGAGAGGTCTCTTGGATCTTCTTATGCAGCAGCCTCAGGTAGGAGACCCTCAGATCTTCTGAATGGGAATTTCTGTACTCCTAGGAGTGCTGACAGTTGCTAGAGCCAAACTGTAGATGCACAGACTTGGACTTACTGAGGTCTGCTTTGGAGCATGGAGATTGACTATAACACTGTTTTCACTTACCTTGGTGTCAGAAGACACTGTTAGTTACATGAATGTCACACCTCACAACAACCTGCTGCTTCATGACACTTTGCAGCAACCTGAGCCGTTTTGCAGAACAGGCTGTGTTGGGAGCAATTCACTGCTGAATCCATGATCTAGAGAATATTTTCCAGGCTGAATCCTGTGCTGTTGTAACAGAAGTTTGAGCAGGTGATGAGGTGAGCTTGGCTGCAATAGGAGGTGCCTGACTGCGGGACAAATCTTTTGATGTGTTACACATCATGAGTCACAGCTGTGTGCAGTGTTTAGGGACAGCTCTGGCAGTCACACCACTCAGGGAGCATCTGAAGCAGCGTTACACACAGCAGTCACGACTCTCTTACAGAGACTTCTAAATTGTAACACTGTGACATGCAAGTGTTGGTCAGGAAACCAAATACCTCCCCCTGTTTGTAGGTATCTGAGGGTGGTGCTTGCTGCTGCTTATTGAGCAAAGAAAACTGGCAACCTCTGGCCTGCAGCACAAACCAGAGCTGTGCTGTAACCAGGTCTGTTGGGTTTTGAAAGTGCAGGCACATTTCACACCTCTAAAGTGCGTGAGAAAGGATAGTTGTGCCCCTCTTGGCGTTCAGGGTACCTTGCAGGACAGAGTGCCTGGGTGTGTGCAGGTGTCCATAACCACTGGGAACTGTTTGGGGATGTCTCAGACAGAGAGCCATAACCCATCTGAAGGAGTAGCTGCATTGATACTACTTTGGGAGATCCTCTTTGTAGATCTGGTCAGGGCAGTGCAAAACATAGAACAGAGCTGGTGTGAACTGGTGATTCTTGGTGCCCACAGTGTGCAACCATGGCATGGAATTACACCCTTGCCAACAGCCACACCTGGCTGTCTTCTGCTGGGCAGGCTTAAGCCTTCCTTTTCTGTTGTGGCTCATCCTGCTGTGCTGGGTTGTCACCCCCAGGCTGGTAGCAATGCTCTTCTCAAGCAGGCAATGTGAATAGGTGCTCAGGTCTTCCTAGAGTGCACGGCAGCTCCAGCATGATCAGACAGTTGTCAACATGCAAACGTGGCTGATGAATTTTTTGTGTTGTGTAAAACACTACTTGTATAACCATGTCAGAGTAGTGTGTCGAGCTCCTGTTACAAAACCATAATTGCATTTCTGTTGTATATGTAGGTTTGGCAAAATTGGGGCAGGATTATTCCATTGATTACCTGATGGGACCTGTTCAACGAGGCTGTTCCCACACTCCCTCCAACCCAAGATCAGACCTGTTCTTATACAAAATAGGTGTTAGTGTGTGTAGTTATTGTTTCTTAATGTGTTTCTGTCCCAGTGTGGGTCCCATTTACACAGCTTGGAGCTCACCAAATTGGAGAGCAGCCACATGACTGCAGCGGGGAGCTGTGCTTTTCATCTGGGTTAGGTTTAGGCTGTGCACTTAATCAGGAGTTTAATACAAAGCAGCAGCAAAACAATTCCTGCTTGTAACTGCCAGCTCATGCCACAGGTGTGGGGGGAGCTGTTGCAAGGTTAGACTTGTGATTTTTATCATTGTGTTAGTTAAACTTCGTGTAAAGCTTTATTCATGGTGAGGATAGGAGCAGCCTTTGGGAAGCCGGCTGTCCCCTGAATCCCACTGCAGCTGAATCAGTGAGATGTTTGGAGCTGTCGCTCGCGTGGAAGAGCTCTCTTGATGCATATGTGTCAGGAATGTGGGCTGAGGCACAGATTGTGTTCCTCACCTCAGAACTTGTGTTGGCAGGACAAACACCAGCCTGAGCAGACGTGGCTGTGGCAGATGAGGGCTTGTACTCAGTGTGGGACCAAATCTATCGTCAAATTTTGGGCTTCGGGCTCCTGGTCAGATGAGAATTGTATTTTAAAAAACCTACATGATCCAGCTGTGTGTAGGTTTTACCAGAGCTCCTATTACATATCATTAAGAGGAAAGAAAAGGTAAAATGCAGAAATGGAATGAATCTACATAGGGATTGCAGAGCACATCTGTAAACATAGAGGAGACATAATAATTTGGGCTCCTGAGCCTTTAGGTTTTGCTATTATCAACCTTGTCCTGAAGACACCCTTGCCTGGCACAGTGCAGGTGGCAGGTTGGCTGCTGAAGGAGGTGACGTGGGCAGTTGCTGGAGTGTGGGGAGGGAAGCGCTTCCTCTCCAAACAAGCATGGCTTTGTGCTCTCTGGTGCCTTGTCAAGGTCCTCCGGGCCCAGGGTGAGATGGCAGCAGTGTAACCATGGCAGTGTTTGTCTCCGGTTTAATGACTCATCCTGGAGCATGTGATCACGTGTGCAGCCTCCCTGCTTCCCTTTGCCCTATTTCATCCAATCTTTTGATCTAGTTATATAACCAGGAGTCAAGAGGGATGGGGGGAAGGAAACAGTGCTGAAGAATTGCAGGTAATGTGACTAAAATGTGTCTGTGGCTCAAATAGCAGAGTTGTTGTCTGGGAAGCCTGAGAAACTGGGTTTATTCCCAGCACAGTTCTCTGTCTGCAAGTGAGCTGATGGTTGATATCTGAGTTTGTAAGTCTAAAAAGGCCTGGTGGGAGGACAGGGCTCCAAGACCTTGGCTGTGGTAGCAGAACTGCTGTGCTTGTAGCAGTGAACCCCTTTGCCTTTATCTTCATTTGTATAACTCTCCTTGCATTCATCATGAGATCTGCTCTATACCATAAGCTGTGGATACCTGGTTTTTCAGTATGTGTAGGGCTTGCAGAGACAGATATTCACAGAAGTGTTTGAACTGCTCTGCTGATACTGGTCCGTGGTGGGCTGAGCTCTGAAGTCCTAAATCTGTTCTGACACAGACTTGCAGCAAAATGCTGGGGTGGGTCTGGTGGGATGTCTGGAGAGGAAGTTTGCAAAGTTAGTGCTTTTGAACAAGGTGTGAATCTACTTCTTGTCATCTCAATTTTAAGATGTGATGCGGGAGATAAGGTTAATTTAATGGGCATATCAACATGACAGCTGTAGGTGCAATGTGCTGTACTGAAGCATCCTTCATTTAAGCTCCCAGCATTTTGAGAAGGAATGCTCTCTGTCTCCAGATCCCTCAGAGTCACAATGTGATGCTTGTTGGTTCTGTATTACTTAATCTGCCACATTCCTCTGCACTGATGTCTTCTTTCCTTCAAAGTTCTGTCTAAGTGTCATTTCAGTTCAGTCATTAGCTCAGATACACAATGTAAGCAAGAAAGCTGATTATAAGATGAAGTTCAGGGTATCTCTTTGCCTGACACAAGGGGACAAGATGCTTCAAAGAAGCTATTACAACGCTTGTCAGAAACAGTTTGCTTCAAGGGAAGCTTTTGAACAGAAACATTTCCTTTCTTTGCTTCTCTGGAAGCATTGGCTTGGTCACTGGCAGCCTGTTGAAGAGCCAAGTGTCACATAGAACAAGGTGTCATTTCTCATTGTGCTTTGGGAGTGGAATCAGGCACAAATGGAAGTCTGAAAATAGGAGAATGAAGAGAAAAAGGAACGCATGTGATTTATAGTGTAGAAAGAATATTTCCACTTACATTTTGTTTGACAAAAAACTTGTTGGAAATTACCATTTGAACCATGAGAGTGAAGCCTGGTGCTAAAACCACTGAGCTGCCTGCTGAGCCATGACCCAGTGTTTGAACCAGATAACCTTTTACATACTGTGTTCTGTTGACTGGGGAGATGGTTACACAGGTGTCATAGATGGAAATTTCTGCCCTACTTGAATGATGTGAAACAAAGAAAAAGAGATTCAGGTTCCTGGTTTTAATCAGAGCTTATCAGGCCCTCATAGAAAAACAGACTCTTGGGATAGCAAGTGCTCCACATGGACCTAAATAATCTGCCTTGTTTTCTTGTCAGGACACTTTTGGGCTGTGTTGAGGGGTGTTAGCCTTGGCTTCCACTAGGGACACATCCTTCACTGTAAAACTTTTGAACTCCCTTTGACTGTCAGAAAGGACCCCAGTTTTGACCCTCAGAGTGACATGCTTGCAAATGAGTGAGAGTAGGGCTTGTCAGTTCCCATTCAGCTCAAACCCTGCCGGTTGCTCGTGGAAGAGCCAGCTGCCAGCCTGGCACAGCTGTTCCCATGTCATGTTCTCCCCCTTGCAGACCAACCCCAGGAAGCCGTGTTCAGCGGTGACCATGCGGAGCACGCGGAGGATGGAGAATGGCAGCGCTCGACTTCAACTACCTCATCTCAGAGCGAGCGGGCAGAGCAACTCTTGCAGAACCAGCACAAGAGCCTGGCCTCTGAGGACACCAAAAAGAAGAGGGCTCAGAAACCGTCTCACATGCGGAGGAACATAAGGTAAGCAGCAGCAGCAGCAGGACAGAAAGAGCTCGGGTCACATATGGTGGTGAAAACAGAATCTCTGCACTTTGCTTCTGAGCTACCTTGTGCCACTGCTGGCAAACCAGATGGTTTTTCTTTTCCAAAACCTTAGGATTTCACCAGTGGGAGTAGAGTGATCTCAGACTGGAGTGCTGCATGTGGGTGCAGACTTGTTTGGTATTTTAGAAGAGTGAATATTTGGTTATGGAATATATTGCACAAATTGTGTAATTGCTTCTGTCTTTTGAGAGATGTAATTGAAAAACAGTACCACCATTAAATACCAGTTTCAGATATTTGCTGAGGTGAATCCTATTGCAAACAGCCTAAAATACAGTCCTTTCCTGTACTGTCCTGGCTACTTGTTGACAGGAATGCTGATGCTATGACTAGTGGCTGAAGTGTTGGAAGTCAGTTTCACCTGGATTTTATAAAGCAGTAGTTTTTTGATTGTGTAATTCACCACATATTCTGGGACAGGTTGTGAGGTGGTAAATCACTAGGAAATTTTGCTCAAGGGACTTTTATAAGCTCAGAGGAGAACTAATGGAGCAGGAATACCTGTGGAAGCAAGTAGCTCTCAGGCCCTGTGCTGGCAGTCTTTGGTTCCTGTTTAAGCTTGTGCAGACTGATTTTCTTAAAGCTCAAGGAATAAGCATTGAATAGGCCTTGAAAAATGGGGCTTCATTAGGATGAAGGAGATGTCCATGATGTGTGGGGTTGAATGATTTTAAAGGCTAGTTTGAGGAAGCTAGATTTTACCACTGCTTGTACTGCACCTCTGCTCTGGCAAAAGCACCTTCATTTCTAGGACTGGGCATGTGACACTGAAGCAGGGGAAAAGCAACTTCTGGAAGGAAATAAAATTACCTATAACGGGAAGGTGCTTTGAGGGAATGCCTTGAAACAATTGCTAAAACCATTAGAGATCCTAGCTCCTCAAAATGCTGTTAGAAGAGAATCAGGGTGATGACTTTTTGTGGGGGAATTGATGCATTTTCTTCCCATATATCTTCTTTGCATGACTTAGTGAATTTTGTGTTTATAAACTGCGTATCAATAAAAAACCTTTCAAGCAGAAGAACTGGTCTCTGGTAACCTAGTTTAAGTATGTGCTTACCCACTTACCTCTTTCCTCCTTTCATTACTTTGCTTCTGTTGAACTTTTGTCTTTTCCTTGAGTGATAGTAGTGTTATCTGTAGTGTTGAAATAGCTGTAGAATTTGCCTGTATCTTTTGGGGATGATGTTCCTGCTCTATGTGGCTGACAGAATACCTGCAGCTTGTCAGTCATCTTTGCAGCTGCTGTGCAGCTGTTCATGTTTTTGGAAGAAATGGAGTGTAACCAAATCACGTTTGCGTGTGGCTGACAGAATACCTGGAGCTTGTCAGTCAGTCATCTTTGCAGCTTCTGTGCAGCTGTTCATTTTTTTGGAAGAAATGGAGTGTAACCAAATCACGTTTGCTCCTGTGTTCAGAAAGCTGTTGCGTGAGGACCAACTGGAAGCCGTGACAAAGGCAGCCCAGCAGGAAGAGTTGGAGAGAAGGAAGCGGCTTGAGCAGCAGCGGAAGGATTATCCAGCCTCTATACCAACGGTTCCCCTGGAGTTTCTTCCTGGTAAGCACTGGGAGATGCCAGCCAAAGTGAGAGTTTTAAGGATAGATGCTGAATGAAGAAGCTAGTGCCATACTTGTCCATGACAGGACAAGTGGTAATGGTTTTGACCTAAAGGAAGGTAGATTCAGGCTAGATACAAGGAAGAAATGCTTTACAATGAGGGTGCTGAAACACTGGCACAGGTTATGCAGAGGTGTGGTAAATGGCCCACTCCTGGAAACATTCAAAGTCAGGATGGATTAGGCTTTGAGCAGCCAGATGTAGCTGAAGATACCCTGTTCAGTGTAGAGGGGTTGGACTAGATGACCTTTGAAGGGTCCTTCCAACCCCAAGCATTCTGCGATTCTCTGCTGTACTTGGATTTTCAAGTGTAAACTCTTGGATCAGCAGTTCCAAACCAGTTGTAGGTTCAGTGTAGGCAGTTCCACTTCTGGCCTTGTTTTGTGTTAAGGTACAGTGGCTGCTTGGTGAAAGGTGCTGGATAATGTTTGTTGAAGATATTTTGACTCACATCAAGTGTGTGTAGGGGGATGCTGAAACAGATCTCTCTTGTCTTTCCAGCTGGTATGGGAGCTTAAATCAACAGGCCTGGCAGAAATGCTAGATCCTGTTTGTCCTGGGAATGGTCTGGTAACATGTGTGTCTGGTACCGGGGATAGTGGGACAATAGACTGGATGCACATATGTTGGTGATGTAACCTTGGCCTTCCTTGCATGTTTTGGCAAGCAGTGAGTTGCAGACGGTATACATGGTTAAGCATCACTCATGTCTTTGGGTGAATATGTCACCTTTCATTGTTTCCCAATCTGGATCATTTTGGTAATTTAGTTTATATCACAGCTTCAAAAGGTGTAAAGGGCAGAGAAGTGCAGCTGGATGTTGGGCAAGGATGAGGAATTCTTGAGTTGGCTTTGCCTCTTGAAGAAATATATATTCTCCCTTATGTGCAAGTGTTAAAAACACTTTTACGTGTGGGAGAAGGGAATAAGAGCTGTTTAAAACACTTCGGGTTATGCAGAGTAGGTTCAGCCCCAGAAGAATGTCATTGCTTGCTGTGTCATTGCAGTGATGCTGTTTGGCCCCATTAGCCCCCCCTCCACATGGCAGCACTAAAAACATACAAACAAATGCTCTTGATCAGCAAAAGTTGTTTATGATATGTGGGATTTAATTATTACAGTGTCCCTACTAACAAAGAGCAGTTATTATCCCTTCAGCAGTTGGTACTTTCTCTGCTGGATGAAACACAGCTTTTACTGAGACCAAAAAAAAGAGAAACAAAGGGCTTTAGCATGTTGCATGGTCAGTGTGCCCCAGTCAGGGCATGAAACAGAGAGTGCCATCAGCAATGGGCTATTGTTTCAGCATATTGAGAATGGAGGAGATTGTGACCCAGGAAGCTGAGTCATAGCAGGATTGTAGACAGTGAGAGTCTGTTATGGAAAATTCCAGGACTAAGTTATTGGAGCTAAAGTGGAAGGAAATACTGTCTGGTTTCTGAACAGTTTTGTCTCCTTCCCCATTATTATGAATTACTTATTGTTTGTAATTTATGTTTGTAGAGGACATCGTTTTCAGAACAGCAGAGGCGACCCAGCTCCCCCCTCAGGTCCTGGCTGAGGAAGTGATCTGCCTTGACAGTACCAGCAGTGGCAGTGAAGATGATACTAAAGGAAAAAATAGCATTAAAGATGGTAAGTGACCAATTGCCTTAGTCTTCTCTTCTCACAATATGCTGTTTATTCAGCCACAAGTCTGTTTTCATCTGATCAGATGCCCCAGTGGTGAATCACTTCAGACTTTTGTAGGCCTATTGGTTTCCAATTATGTGGGCAGTTCTGGCCTGTGAGTCCTAAAATGACATTTATAAAATGGCCTGTCAGGCTCTCTTGTGAACTTGTGTTTATTTCTGCTTTATAAATGCACCAATTTTGCCCAGTGCATTGCTGAAGAATGCTTACAGGACATGTGGCACCATTTGGTGCATGTAAAAGGAGCATGTAAGTATTCAGATTTGCAGCTGGAAGTGGTTTTTGAGTCCCGTGTCCCAAATGGATTCAACCAGACCCCTTGGTGATCCTTAGGCATTATATCAGTCAATAAAATTCATGTCTGGGCTTGGGAATTAAGAAAACATATGGAAGAGAATGTAAAACACTCCTGGAAACTGTCTCATGTGCTCTTTGGATCAGCCCAAGTTAATGTTCACTGAAACATTTGGAAGCCAGGGAAGCTTTCATATGCTGGTCTGAGGGGTGTGGTGTGTGCCTGTATCATGCCTGCTTGTTCAGGATACATCATTAGGCCAGGGTGAAATTGCAAAAGCTGGGAGTAGCCTTATTTCCTGATAGTTTTTTTCCATTCATGATAAACCCTGATGTCAAGTTAACTTTGTTGTTATTCTTTCCTGTTCTGGTTACTTTGCAGAAGTGATTGAACTGAGCTCAGGAGAGGATGATGCCCTCCAAATTGTGGACAGCAGTGACTCTGGCAATGAGGGGGAGGAGGATGGCAGTGAAGAGAGCAGTGGCTCTCATGTGAATGATGCCTTAAATCAGTCAGATGCTCTGGGGCAAGTCATTGTCAACATCAATCATCCACCAAATGAGGAGGACATTTTCCTGGCTCCCCAGCTTGCACGTGCAGTAAAACCTCATCAGGTAGGCTTTGTTAGCCTTGAAAATGCAATGAATTTGGGCAAGCCTGCCTGGGAATCTCAGCAGACCTTCTTTGGTGAGCCCTGTGACCAATCTGGTTGTGGTGGTGACTGTTGTGGATAGTCAAATGATAAAACTGAACTAGAGGATGGCCAAGGCTCTGTATAACTTCAGCTGCTGTTACTATCAGACCTTTGTATATTTAGATGAACTTTTACAAAGTAAAATTATATTTATGAAAAAACTAATCAACCCCAATTCAGATCCTCTGGCTACAAATTAATTTGTATTTATTGATATATTCTCAAGAAATTCTATGAGCATCTAAAAATACTGAGTTTCTGAGCCTTCCCTAGAGTAATTTAATGAACTTGAAACATCCACTTTACATTTTCATGGTCCTCATGCACTCTGTAAATACTTAGCCATCTTGGGCTTTTTTGTCTGCCACCATTCTAACACTTTTTCTACTTTTCTCCCTAGATTGGTGGAATCCGATTCCTTTATGACAACTTGGTCGAGTCCTTGGAGAGATTTAAAACCAGCAGTGGGTTTGGGTGTATTTTAGCACATAGCATGGGTCTGGGCAAGACCATCCAGGTTATCTCTTTCTTGGATGTACTTTTTCGGCACACGGAGGCAAAGACTGTTCTTGCCATTGTACCTGTAAGTAGCCGCATGAAGGGCTGGCTGAGGGGCTTCCCTGCACTGCTTCTTTCTTTGCATAGAGAAGGTTGATTAATGTCCCATCACTCATCAAGCTCTGTCACATCCTTGCCGTTCTTCCCCTATATCATTCCCTGTGTTCCTGAATTTGCATGCTGTAAGCTGCTGCTTCCATCTGGCACAATTAGGGTGTCATTCCCTAATCTCATTTCTGCTCTTAAAAATCCCAAGTGACTCAATTGGGTTTTTAATCCTTCCATGGCTAACTTTTTCAGGTGAATACGCTTCAAAACTGGCTAGCAGAGTTCAACATGTGGCTCCCAGCACCTGAAAACCTTCCTGCTGATTATAACTCCAAAGAGGTCCAGCCCCGCACCTTCAAAGTCCATATCCTGAATGATGAACACAAGTAGGTGACAGTAAAAGCTTTTCTGAGCTCTGCCTCTTTCTGGATCATTTTCCTTGCATGGATCAGGGCAGTACAGTGGTCCTGGGGAATTCTCAGTTCATTAGCTGTGTCTATACTCCTAGAATGTGTTCTGGGTGGGATATATTTGAATCTGCTCATGCTGCTTCAGCCATGTATTTACTGTTGGCCAGGATCTGATATACTGTGGTGGACTGAGCAGACAGTGTCTTGATCTGAACCAATTCTGAGCAGGCTGGAAGGGAAGGAAGCCTGCGGGACAGGAGCATTGAAGAAGACAACAGGGGATAAACAACTTGAAGATTACAACCATGTGCATTGGCAGCTTGTTCTGCAAATGGTTTTTGCAGAGGCAAACTCAACAGCTCTATAAAAAGGGAACTCTTTGAGTTTTATATGCTTTTGTGCATGACAAATTTCTACACCTCAGTTGCTGTAAGGATTTGTCATTCTCAGTCCTGCTCCATGGCACATAAAAGGCTTTTTCCCCCCTCTCTGTATCTGTTTGTTTCCTAAAGAAATTTCATTGTAAACCTCCATCTGGTTTGATGTGAGAAAAATGCTTTAAAATACCCACTGAATGGGTATTTTTTCTCAGCAGACTCCAGTCCAGTGATTCAACCTGAAATTGGAATAAAGCTTACAGTTTGTTTGGTTGTTTTGCAGGACGACAGCTGCACGAGCAAAGGTGGTGAATGACTGGGTGACAGAAGGTGGTGTGCTGCTGATGGGATATGAGATGTACCGTCTCCTCTCACTGAAGAAGTCCTTTGCCACTGGCAGGAAGAAGAGAACAAAGAAACAAACTGGCCCTGTCATTATTGACTTGGATGAGGAAGACCGGCAGCAGGAGCTTCTGAAAGGTGGGAAGTCAGCCCTCAAGAGAGGAGAGTGTGACCCTGCTGTCCAGCTGGCTGTCAGCTGTGGCAGCACAGGGAAACAGCCTATAACTTGCTTTTATATCACTGACATGATAGAGCTTTGCTGGGTGGAATTGTCTTTGGAGGCAGAATGTTGTCGGTCTGTGTCTGAGTCTTCAATTTCTCAAAAGAGCTCCAAGTAAGGGTGGAATTCAGTACACGGAACTCTGGGATTTGTCATTGTGAGATTTGCCATTCTGATTTGATGCAAGACACCCAACTTGATGCAATGCAGGTCACTGAACAGAAATCAAGGGACAGTCATGTTTCCTCATTACCACATTTTGCTAAATCAGAACTACTGTCTAGTCAAATGTTATCTCCTGCATCAGCCTTGCTCCCTGCACCCATGGATACTGCTTTTTTGTCTTTCAGAAATACCCCTCTATTGTGTAGCTGGTGGCCTTATAAAACCAGAACTTTGTCTTATTCATCTCTAACACTTAATGTCCCTTGTCCTCAGGGATTGAGAAGGCTTTGTCTCGCCCCGGCCCAGACGTGGTTATTTGCGACGAAGGGCACCGCATAAAGAACTGCCATGCCAGCACTTCCCAGGCGCTGAAGAACATCCGCTCGCGCCGGCGGGTGGTGCTGACTGGGTACCCACTGCAGAACAACCTCATCGAGTACTGGTGCATGGTGGACTTTGTCCGGCCTGACTTCCTGGGCTCGCGGCAGGAGTTCAGCAACATGTTTGAGCGGCCCATCCTGAACGGGCAGTGCATTGACAGCACCCCCCAGGACGTGCGGCTGATGCGCTACCGCAGCCACGTCCTGCACAGCCTGCTGGAGGGCTTCGTGCAGCGGTGAGTCCACGGGCAGTTCTCTGGGGTGTAGTCCCTGCAAACAGTTCCTTCATCACAAGTTGCCTGGCTTGTTTGCTCAGTTTGTGCAGTGCAACTAAATGTTGATGCCTTATAAAATCATGGAATTGTTTAGATTGGAAAAGACCTGTAAGATCATCAAGTCCAACCATTAACCCAGCACAGCCACCACTAAAGCTTGTCCCCAGGTGCCACACCTACGAGTTTTTTAAATCTCTCCAGGGTTGGTAACTCCACCACTTCCCTGAACAGCCTGTTCCAATGTCTGACCACCCTTTCCATGAAGAAGTTTTTTCTAATATCCAATCTAAACCTCCCCAGCAACACAATATTCCATTTTCTCATATCCTGTCACTGTTACCTGGGGGAAGAGACTGTTCCCTATCTGCATATAACCTACTTTTAGGTAGTTGTGGAGAGAGAGAGGGGTCCCCCCAAAGCCTCCTTTACTGCAGCCTGAACCCCCTCAGCTGTTCCTCATCAGCCCTGTGCTCCAGAGCTTTCCCCAGCTCTGTTGCCTGAATCTGGACATGCTCCGGCACCTCACTGTCTTGTAAGGAGGGACCCAAAACAGAACCCAGGATTTAAGACGGGGCCTCACCAATGCTGAGTACAGGGAGAGGTTCACTGCCCTGGCCCTGCTGGCCACACTGTACAGTTGCTTTGTTTTGGTACAACAGACTCTGATTACAGAGAACTACACCTCTAAGTGCCCTAGAGTGACCTCAGGTTTATTTCGATGGGTTAATAGCCAATTTGCATGTGCACTTTGTGACATCCTTATCTTAGAATCTGAAAGTGTTTCGTGAAAGTGTTAAGGAAAGTGACAGTAACTCCACCATTCTGGAAACAAATCAGCATTTTTTTCTCAGATGAGAATTCTAGGATGCTGGTCTGGAGTGTCTTAATCATTGGCACAGCTGAAAATAGACTTTACATCTTATTTCTGGTTTTCAGCTACCATGGAAAACAGGACTTTCATCACCCTCTTAACTCTGTGACCTGTGCTAGAAGATTGTAATGTTTGAGATCTTTGTAATTGTGTTTACAATTGGTATTTGGCTGCAGGGAGAGTATCTCAGAAGTGTCATGCATTAGAGAAGCATGCAATTTAGAGGTCCTTCTCCCTGCAGCTGGGTGGGCAAGAAGTCAAATTCTTTCCCTACAGGCAGCCACAGGGAGATCATAATGGGAAATTCCCTTCCCCTGTATTTATCTCACTCTTCTTATTTCCTCCACAGGCGAGGCCACAACGTGCTGAAGGTTCAGCTCCCGTCTAAGGAAGAGCACGTCATTCTGGTGCGTCTGTCCAAGATCCAGCGGGACCTCTACACGGAGTTCATGAACCGCTTCCGGGATGCAGGCAACAGTGGCTGGCTGGGGCTGAACCCACTCAAAGCTTTCTGTGTCTGTTGCAAGGTACATTTTGGCAGAAGATGCAAAGAAAGATTCTAATCTGTTGGGGAAAGGGGAATATAAGTCAAAAGAGGAGGTGAAAGTGTGGTTGGCCAGGGACATAATCTCTCCCCAGAGTGCTCTGCAGTGGTTTAACAGTATTGTTATCTTTGCTTCCAGAACTGGGATGCAGGGATGTTAAATGTCTCTTTCAAACCCTGTGCAAGAAACCTGCTAGCATCAGCTGAAACAATCTGGGCTGATACTTTAAACTGCATAGCCTTACTTGCTTAATGCAAACAGGCAGCTCCCTCTGTCTTTTTGCTGTGTGGGGTGCACAGTGACCTCCTGGTTTGGTCTCAAGGAAAGAATTGGACACATTTAAAGATATGAGAGCCAGAAGAAGTATTAGTTCTTTCCTTTGAATAGCTGTGGGAGCTTTCAGGTCACAATCATTGGCAAGCAGCAGACCAGTGCAGGTCTAACCACTTCCTTTCTTTATCCCTTCAGATCTGGAACCATCCAGATGTGCTGTATGAAGCTCTGCAAAAGGAGAACCTGGCAAACGAGCAGGATTTGGATGTGGATGACCTTAGCACAGCAAACACTAATTCCCGCTGCCAGCCTCAGGGAATTAAAGTTAAAACAGAAAGTAATGCTTTGGCATCACCAGTTGGAGAAGCTACTAATAGCAAGTTCCTCCAGAGTGTTGGCTTCAACCCTTTCCAGGAGAGAGCAAATCAGGTCGTAACTTATGAGTGGGTGAGTGTCACTGCTGGAAAATTCTTCATTTGGAGAGTCTGGACAGTTTTCTGAAGCAGAGCAAAGAGAAGACTCTTCTGTCTGAGTTGTGGGTTTCTCCTGTGTTCTCTTTACCACAGAGCATCTTGATAAGCAGATCTGCATGGTGCTAGGAGGGGTTTGTGACTCTCAGGAGGTAGAAGTGCAGACAGCACTCTTATGTTATTGCTCTCATGTGACCAAAAAGGCTGTGGATTTTGTTATTCTAAATAAAGGTATTAGGGTGAAGTTTGATCTAAATAAGAGGGTGGTAAATCTAGAAGGATGGAGGAAAGCTCTTGAGATGAAAGTCGTGAGAGGTTGAGAGGACGCTCATTCATCAAAGAAGTTTGTCATTTGGAACTTCTGGAATGGGAGGTAGCAGCAGTAGTTGGGAGTAACATGGTCACCTCAAACAACTGGATGTAAATAACCTTGTTGCCATGATTTATTTCCTTCACCTTGAGACAGGGTTGTTGAGCTAAACAGGGAATGAGCAACTCCACCTATAATAGTCTCCCGTTTCTTGGTAGGCCAAAGACATCTTGTGTGAATACCAGACGGGAGTCCTGGAGAACTCACCCAAGATGGTGTTACTTTTCCACCTAATTGAGGAAAGTGTGAAGCTTGGAGACAAGATCTTGGTCTTCAGGTAAGCAGAGTATCACCAACTGATCCTACAGTCATTAAATACTGGAGTAGTTGGATCCCCCCTGGTACTAGGAGGTTTTTACGCAGGGTGAATGGTGTGGGAGTTCCCCTTTTTTCTCCTTGTTGTATAATGTGGATTTTTATCTGTGGATTTTATAGTTTTGCCACTGTCACATTTACTAGTGAGGGGTGTGCTGCACAAACAGGGTTTGACAACCATCAGCACTGTCATTGGGGAAGGGTTCTGATACTCCACTCCTGCTGCTGGGGGACTTTTTCCTGAACAGAGATCTTGGTTTTGCAGCCAGAGCTTGTCCACCTTATCTGTCATTGAAGAGTTTTTGGCAAAGAGACCAATGCCAAGTCCTCCAGGCTCAGATGGAGGAGTTCATAACTGGGTCCGAAACATCAACTACTACAGTGAGTGCATCCAGTCCTCCTCTCTTTTGTTATGACACTGTTTGATCATGTGAAAGACTAATTCCTGAAAATTGCCCACCATCTTCTTTTAGTTGTCTTTGGGTATGAAAATGCTCTGCTGAAGCATTCTTCTGATGAACCTCTTTCAGACTGTTCTTACTTTAGTTGTTTTGGAAGACAATGTCAGTTGGATAGCAGCTAAGCAGTAATTTCCAAATCTTCTTTTGACATCTTACTTAGAAGATGTTAGACATTGACATCTCACTTACACACTAGTGCTTTTTTTAAGTTGCAAAAGATACTTTTTGCTTCCTGTTGGCTATTTGCTAGATCTTGCTTCCAAAACCAGAATCACTGTGGAATGCTTTCACTTGCTCAAGGCTGTGAATTCCTCTCCCTTATTCCCCAGCTTTAAATCTTTTTCTGGTATGGGTTGTTGCTTTGTGTGGCTACTTTGCAGGCCAGGGCTGAGAAAAGTGGTGGATATGGTGTTCCTGATTTTTGCAGAGCTGCCAGAAGCAAGCTGCTGCTCAGGAGCAGTGACATGACACTCCTTAACACCAGCACTCTCTGTGCTCAGGTCTAGTTTCTGGGGGTTTGCCAAAGCCTTTACAATTTTGCTTTCTCTTGATCCCTGGAGCTTCCTGCATGCATGAGACCTTTGTTCCTATTGTTCCTGCTTGCTATCCACCTTGCCTAAAGCAGAGCCTTAAAGGGCTAGATGTGTTTTAGTGCTCCTAGGCCTGGCCTTGACAAGTTTGAGTTATGTTTACTTAATCTTTCAGTTGATCAAGTCCCAGCCTGGCTGGCTGCATTGCACCTGCCTTTTTGGGCGTATTACAGGTCCAGAGTGGCCCATTTGAAATCCTGGAGTACGACTTGAATTGGTTTGGAACCAGTTTCAAAGCTCAGTGTTCGGAAAGTGGGTTTGCTCTGATAGAAATCCCCCAAACATACAGAGCTTTTACATGTATTTTTAATTCCTTTCTCAGGACTGGATGGCAGCACCTCTGCCTCAGAAAGGGAACGGCTGATTAACCAGTTCAATGATGCCAGCAATGCCTCTGTTTGGCTCTTCCTTTTGTCCACACGGTGAGTTGGCTGGAGCAGAAGGGCAGGGGGAGGACTTGTACTGATTTCTGAATGCATGTGGGTTTTCAGTTCTTAACTTCCCTTGTAATACCCTCTCCATGGTATTGTATAGTGCCATCTGCTTCTCAATTCCCTAGGGATGTAGGATTTCAGCCTTAGGCCTCTGCAAAAGCTTAACAGTCTTGGAAACCAAACTTGGGTTTCAAGTTTGACTGGAGGAAACTTTCCATAGACCCTTTGTGGACTCTTGGCTGTGATGGTTGTCCTTGCCTAGAAGTTTTGGAAATTGACCAGGGCAGCAGTTTGAAATTTGCCTTAATTTTCCAGTGCTGGGTGTTTGGGTGTCAACCTCATTGGAGCAAACAGGGTTGTGGTGTTTGATGCTTCCTGGAACCCGTGCCACGATGCCCAGGCCGTGTGCCGGGTGTACCGCTACGGGCAGAAGAAGCCGTGCCACATCTACAGACTGGTTTCTGATTACACCCTGGAGAAGAAGATCTATGACCGCCAGATCTCCAAGCAGGGCATGTCAGGTAAGTGTGGATGAACACAACGTTCCACTCTCAGATTTCACTCCTCTTAGCTCCTGTAAGTCCTCTTTCTGTGGGTTTTGTACCTTCTTTTTTTAAGGTTGAAAAACAGACAAAGAGGTGGCAGGCACCATCCCAGGGCTGTGTTTGATGTTTGAGTTGGCAATGACATAGGATCCTGTAAGAAGTTCATGGTGGTAGAGCCAGCATCCTGCAGCAAGGTTGTGGTCCCAGTCCACTGCTGTGCCATTTACTTCCCCTCTGCTGTTGCAGTAGCCAGAGATCCTCTTCTGGCTACTGCAACAGACCAGAGACTCGGGAGGTTCCTCATCCTGTTTTCCCCTCTGCCTGGATATTACTCATCTTGAACTGGATGTTACTACTTAAATAGCTCTGTATCTCTGTTTTCCTGCAGTAAGAGAGGGAAAATAGCTAAATTAAAGCATGTATTGACACCTTTGACTGTTAATGCTTGTTTAGGTGCCAAGAATAATTAATTCATTGTGGTTCTGACCTGCCTTTGTACCATAAGTATCTTTTGTGCTAGCTTGTTCCAGTTGTCAAGCTGCTCTCATAGAATGTGCAGCTGAGGGTTGTGGTGACCCAAAGAGAGCTGTGTCCTTCTTTGCTCAAAACTCCAGAGACAGCAGCCCAGTGTGATCAGCTCAGTTTGCTGTTGTGCACTTGAGGTGGAGTCCCCTGGCAGCTGGCCTGGCTCCCAGGAGAGTCCTGGGTAGAGGTGTTTTCTCTGTGTGCTCCCATTTGACCTGTGTGCAGGAGGGAATGTTCAAGGAAAACATTCAGTCTCTTGTGAGTGAGGGAATGTGGCTGCTTTTCTGAGCTTTCCACTTGAGTACATACTTATTAATTTGAGCCTTTTTAGTGGGATTTGTGGGAGAACACATACTGATGTGAGTGCAGTTCTGTCCCAGAATGTGTATGTCTGCAGCCTTGTTACATGAGATGGGACACTATCCATAATTAATTTTGTGTTCCTGTTTGTCAGGAGCTTGGTGACCTGCACAGCTTTGCTGTGCAGTCTGGAGCACAGGCATGTGTCAGCCTGACTTGGTCCAACAGGCTCAGCTCTCAACATGATGATTTTTCTCCCTGCCCTGACATTTACAAAATATATCTGAGGATTGTGTAGATTGCAAGGAGGAAGCTGTATTAGGACGGAAATGTAGAAAGGGCAACAGGCTAGCCCTTGTCTTCCCTTGTCTGCTCACTCCATTCGCTCTCTTTTCCAGATCGGGTGGTGGATGATCTGAACCCAGTGCTGAACTTCACTCGACGGGAGGTGGAGAACCTGCTGCATTTTGTGGAAGAAGAATCTGACCCTGCTCAGCTCTCCCTCAATCTGAGCAAGATGAAGGAGTCTGTTCTACAATTAGCCTGTCTCAAGTATCCTCACCTCATCACCAAGGTAAGATGAGCCTATTTCTTTGCTGGCACTGCCCGGCACAGGCAGGAGTGGTCCTGGAGGAGTCTGGCAGTGTGATGGGGCCATGGTGGCAAGTAGGATGCACCTAGGTGTTGGTGGGAATAGAAAATTCTCTAGAGAGGACCCAAGGATCCCTGCACTTCTCTGTGATATCTTCCTCTCTTCTAGAAACACCTCTGTCCTGTACAGGTTTGGGGGCAGGTTGTCAGGCACCCCTTTCTTTGTGCTGGGCGTGAAGGTGGCAGTGGAACATCACAACTTGCTGCCAGCTCTTTTCCTGGGGTGACTTTAAACAAAAGCTGGGACAGGCAGCACTGGCCTGTGCTGTCAGGAGTGTCACTGGTCGGGTGGTGCTGCAGAGTGGGCCTGTGCCAGGTGCTGTGGGGCTCTGGGAGCTGTGTGACATCGTGGCGGGCTATGTACTTGTGCTCTTGGCCTGGCCAAAGCTCTTGGTTTGGCCATGCGCTCGTGGTAAGTGATGGCCTTGGCGGGGCAGGTGATGGCATTAGCTGGCTGTCACCCTTCAAGATGAGCCTTGGTCACATCCACAGCAGTGCCCCCCGCACGTGCTTTGCCATGGCCAGCTCTGCCAGCCTGGGAAGGAGACAGGCTGGGCAGGGAGCGGGCGCTGCCGTTCGGGGTGTGCTGGTTCCCTCTTGCGGTGCGTGGGTGCCAGAACCGCGGTGCTGTGGGGTTGCAGGAGCCTTTTCAGCACGAGTCACTGCTGATCGACCGGAAGGAGCACAAGCTGACCAAGGCAGAGAAGAAAGCAGCCAAGAAGAGCTATGAGGAGGAAAAGCGAGCATCCGTCCCCTACACCCGGCCGTCCTACGCACAGTATTACCCAGCCAGTGACCAGAGTCTGACGAGCATCCCTGCCTTTAGCCAGAGGAACTGGTGAGCACCTGCCCCTTCCCTTCTCCCCATTCTGTAGAATGAAATAAGGTGCAGATGATGCTTATCGCTGTGGGGCGGGTGCTGCACTCTCCTCCTTCCTCTCTCACTAGGCGACCAGCCCTCAAGGGTGAGGACAAACCAGTGGCAAGTGTCCGCCCAGTTCAGTCCACCCCCATTCCAATGATGCCCCGGCATGTCCCCATGGGTGGTGCAGGATCAACCTCAAGTTCCAACCCTGCTGTCAACTTTCCCATCAACTATCTACAGCGAGCTGGTGTTTTTGTGCAGAAGATTGTTACCACCACTGGTGAGTTGCTACTGCTCAAAGTGCATTGGATTGTGATGCCCATGGTAAATTGAGGATGCCCATAGTGAAATGAGGATCAGGGTGAGTTGTAGATGCCCATGTGGGCTGTGGGCGGATGGGGATCAGAAACAAAGATACTGTCTCTCTGCATTTGAGTGGTTCCTCTGTGCCTGAAGGGCTTTCCCTGCAGCTATTCAAGAGCCATGGACCTAGTGGATTGTTGGGAGTGAACTTTCCCTGACAGGACCTGCAGTACTGTTGCTGGTGGTTCTGGAGATGCCGTGCCAGAACAGCATGGCTTTAGCTTCCTTGGAGCCTCTGCTGCCTTCTTGTGCTGTGTAGAAATAAACCCAGGGCTTGCTTATAGCACAGCACACAGGAGAGACAACTGCACTGCAAAAAATGGGGGTGGTGATGCGCCTGCCCTCTCCTGGCTGTGGCTGACGTGTAGTTTAATGGGCACTATTCTGTTTCTTTCCCCACTGCCAGATATTGTGATTCCGGGTACAAATACATCTACTGATGTACAAGCTAGAATCAGTGCTGGTGAGAGCATCCACATCATCCGAGGGACAAAAGGTAATTCTGTCCTGCTAAAACTTGTGAATAGGGTCCTAGCCAGTGCTAATTAGCAAAAAAAATGATGTAAAGGCATGAATCAATTCCTTGAGAAAAAAAGAAACAAGAAGGGAAGGTCTTGAGTTTGCAGTGACGCTGTTGCAGCCCATGTTCTGGGTGTGCTGATGCTGCCTGGCTGTTGCAGCTGAGGCTGCTCCTGTCCATGAGAGGAACTGTTGAACTTTGTGGCTCAGTTCTTCCTTCTCACAACACTCACTGCAAGTCCTGAGGCAGCCACACACTTCCTGGTTCTCCCAGAGAAAACTGTTTCAAGTGTGAAGTTCCACATTTCCCACTGGCAGCACACTGGGAGGGGGTGATCACCAGCCTAGGAAAGCTGAAAGGGTGAAAGGGGAGGGTGAGGAAGGGGTAAAAGCCCTGTACAGGGCCTATGCAGCAGTGCTGTCCTATTCTTGCCCAAGGAACCTTGCAGGCTCATAGATCCAGGTTCTGAACTGAGACTGGAGTTGTAATGAAATTGTTGAATGAAGTTGTCCCGCCTCTGTTCCAGGGACGTATATCCGGACCAGCGACGGTCGGATTTTTGCCATACGGACCACTGGGAAGCCAAAGGGCAATGAAGACCGTCGGACAGCTGCCTCAGGTAGGGGCTTGTGGGTGCTGTGTGGGGCTTGCACGTGTGCTTTCCTATTGGAATGTCTGGGGCAGCATTCCCTGGTGTATTCCATCATGTCTGTGTTTAGATCTGACCCCCCGCATGCCCAAGATATTTCCACCTTCCTTTCCACTGTTGCCTCTTGGCCCGCAGGTTTTTGTCCGAGGTTGTATTTCTCACCTGCGCCATCTCCTTGTTTGCAGGCTCCCAGAGCTCTTCCCTGGAGTCCACGAGCAACGGCAGACACAGTGCCTCATCCCCGCAGCTCCCCAGCACGGAGGAGCTCACTCGGCCCATCTCCCCCGACAGCCCCGAGATCATCAGCGAGCTGCAGCAGTACGCGGAGGCGGCGGCCGCGCGCGAGTCCCGCCACAGCTCTCCCAGCAGCGCCGCGCCGCAGGACCACGCCGCCCGCACGGACAACGCGCCCGGCGCCGCCGCCCGAGGAGCCGAGCAGCGCGTGGGGGTTCCCTGCATGGCTCCCTCCGTGTCCTCGGCCCTGCCAGCCACCAGCCAGCACGGCGATGCCCACCCGGTGTTGGACTTACGGGGCAACAAGCGCAAGTCAACGTCGCCGTCGGCTCCGGAGGAGCAATCCCGGAGGCAGCAGAAGAAGCGCCAGTTGCCATCATCCGTGCAGCCGTACGAACACGGGTACCCCGTCTCTGGTGGGTTCACCATGCCTCCTGTCTCTTTAAACCACAACCTAACCCATCCATTTGCCTCCCAGCCAGGAAACTCCTTGTACATGGGCACTGGCTCCTCTTATTACCAGCTGCCCAATTTACTCCCAGACCCTCATCTGGTGTTCCCTGTGACTACTGACCCTCTGCTGACAGCCGGCACCGCCAGCTCTTCTGCTGCTACCTCAGCCACCGCCAGCGTCCCCTCATTCATGCTAAACCCTTCTCTGGCAGGGGTGCTGCCCAATTACTCGCTTCCCTTCACGCAGTCACTCCTGCCCGAGCCCAGGATGTTCGCTCCTTTCCCAGCCCCCGTCTTGCCTAGCAGCCTTCCCAGGAGCATGGCATCTGCCTACCCTGGCTACGTGTCCCCTCACTCGGGCTACCCAGCTGGGGGTCTCCTTCGGTCCCAGGTGCCTCAGTTTGAACCCCAGGAGGTCCCAGAGGTGGGATGCAGCTCTAATGACGAGGACAAAGACGACGATGTCATAGAGATCACAGGGAAATAAAAAGGCCCAGCTCCTGCTCGGTCTCAGCTCCGCCAGGAGGCAAAAGTTGCAGGACCTTTTTGGGAGTCAGGATTTTCCCTCTGGGCCACGGCAGTGGGTGGAGAAGGATGCGAAGGGTGTGGCGTGGGGGTGGTTTTGTTCTTTTTGTTTGGTTTTGTTGTTTTTTAGCTGTCAAGGATAAGAATTGTATTAGGGGCTGGGAGATGGGAGAGGGATAGAGTGGACCTTTGAGAGCCAGGGGAGCAAGAGCCAGGGAGGAGGGAAGCAGCAATGCAAACTGTAGGAGTGCCTCCCCCCATGCTCTGTCTGTCTGTCTGTCTCTGTTCTTTGTCTTGTCTGCCCGTGGAGGCTTGGTGTTGTGAGTCACTGCCCTTCTCAGGCCTGGAGGTGCGGGCTTGACCGCTGGCAGGGCCGAGCTCCCTCTCACATGAACTGCCTTATCTGTGATCTTCTCTCACTGCGAGAGGGGTGGGCCGGGGGTGACTCCACCAGAGGTTGGGGACAAAGTGTTTTTAATGGGGAGGGAATGGGGAGGCATCTACCTTGTGTATGTTGGGGCAGGGAGGGAGGGGATTGATGTCAAATAAAAGAAGAAAGAAAAGAAAAAAAATATAAAAAAAAGAAAATAGCCCACAATCTGTCACCCTCTTCAAATTCACATGAGACTAGTGTGAGTGGAGGGCTCCAGGCAGGCTCCTGTTCCAGGGCTCTGGTGGGGGGCTCTCCCAGGCCCTTCTGGAGGGTCCCATCCAAGGTAGGTTGGCACTGTGAGTCTGATGCCACCTCTGTGTGCTAGGCCAAATGAGTGGAGCAATGCCACATGTCTTGGTGGCCATCAGAGGGGAATCCTGCTGACTTCCCTGTATCCTGCCAGACTGTGTGAAGGCCACGTCTCACCCTGCTGTGGCCCACCAGAACCAGGGGTGGGTGGGCTCGCTGCTGCTTCTGAACAGCACCAGGCAGTGGAGAAGGTTGGGAGGGGACACTGGACCAGTGCCAGTTGCTGTTGAATCTGTGACTGGAGAGATTTTCCCCTGCACAGAATCTCTACATTAATTTATTTCATTAAGGCATAATATTTATTGTCTGGGGGAGTCTTTCTTTCTACTTTTAAATGAATTTCCATATTAAAAAAAATAAAAAGCTGGCCTCCATCATGCAGTGGTCACTTGTTGGGTTGTCTGTGTGGGGAAGAAGCAGACGGTTGACCAAAGCCTAGCCTAGGAGCAGGGCCTACTGTGGAGGTGGCCTGTGGCTGACCTAGGTGGCACTGGTTGGATGTGTTCCAGCAGGACATTCTGCCAGAGCAGGAGGTGCTCTGGGTGCTGAGCAGCTGGAGGGAGGATGGAATCCTCTTGTCATGGGGCAGGTGGAGGAGCACGTGTGGAAGCCTCCTGTGCTCATTCCCAGTGAAAAGGAGGAGAGCTGTGAGGTGTGTGGAGCTGGGAATACAGAGCTCTTGCTGGGGAAGTGCCTTTCCCCATGCAGGGAGTGGCCTCCCTGCTCAGCCCCAGGAGTGCAGAGCCTGGTCCTGGCCCTGCCAGCGAGCACCCCAGCTGCTTCTCAGGGCCAGGGCTCCTAGGGAGAGGCTGGGATACCCAGGTGCAGCTGGACTTGGAGCATGTGTGTGTGTGACCGCACTGGGATGGACGCTTGAAATCCAGGAACCTGCGTGTCACATCTGGGTGTCACCATGCAGGAGCTGTGCTGGCCTGCGTTGGATGTCCCTGGAGCTGGTGGTAGCCTGCAGGGGACCCCTAGGCCATGGAGGCTGCAGTCACTGGTGCTTGCTGGGACCAACTAGGTGTAGGAAAGGGCAGGATGTCCTGACATCCTCCACCAAGGGGTGCTGGAAGATGGGGACCTCCCTTTCCTAGAGAGAGGGTTGTGTGTGCACGCGTGTGTTACGGAAACACAATAAAAAATGTTATGGGGCTTTCCTAGTGTCTTTCTCTGTTTAATGGACATTGTCTGTCAAACATAACCACACCATTCATAGAAGCCTTAGATCAACAGTTTAGCTATGCAAATTATTTTAATTACTTTTTTTAAAAAAACAAACATTAAAATAGTGCTTTCTTCTTTAACATATCCTAGGAGTTGAAAACCGAGGGGTTCTGAGCAAACTGCTGGACAACTTGTCTTTGGATGCACCATGGAAATAAAAATCAAACCCCCCCACAAAAGTAACAAAGCAAATTAACTGATGGTGTTCATGCAAGTTTCTCCAAAGACTTGACAGTGCTGCATCTGTGAGTCATGCCCTCCTGTGCTCTGTGTGTCCACCTCATGCACTACCCTGTGACACTGATTGTATGACCAGCTTGCCCAGATGTCCGTTGCATCCCTGTGAGGCTGTCAGTTTTCCTGTGGATTTGGGGAATGGACCTAGGCAAGGGTTTTCCTTGTCGAGAGTAGCAAGTGTTGAGACCTGCGGGCGCGTGTGGGAGGCGGGAACATGAGCAGACCCCCCTGAGCCCTGCGGCCGCCCCAGCCCTTCCTGTGGGGGTCAGGGTAGTGGGGCTCATCCAAGGGACCCTCCCATGTCATCTCTGAATGGGGCCTGTGCTGGGACAAGGTGTGAAGATGCGGCTGGGGGCAGTCAGCACCGTGGTCTGGATGTGGTACTGGAGACTGCACACCTCTCTGCTCCTTGCCTCTCCAGGAGAGCGCCCAGGGCTTCCAGAGCAGGCCCTGGCACGTGCCTGTGCTGCCACCTGATGTTCTCCAGTGGTCCTCCCGCAGAGCCTGAGCCCTGTGGCTGTAGGAGCTGAGGATGACTGTCATTCTGCTGCCACAGGGTGCAGATTGTGCTCCGGGCTGGCTGTTAACCCAGCACCAGGGCGAGGTGTGAGGCTGTTCCAATTCCTGAGTGGCCATGGCTTGTAGACGCCTTGGCACCCTCCTGTGCATGATGCACTGCTGGCAAACATCTGCAGCCCAGGCAGCTGCAGCGCAGGGCCCTGCACAGCAAGTGCCCACCTGTGCCCACCTGCAGCCCCAGCTCTGCCCCAGGCACCAGCCCTGGGCCCCCTAGAGAGGAGATGGGCCCTGGCAGAGCCTCGCCTGAGATGCTCACAGAGATGCCCTGAGCACAGGGCTCCCATGGGAGCTGGCAGTGGCTGGGGCTGCTCCGAGGCACCTGCTCTCCCACGGTGCCATGGGAAGGATTTCCTCTGCCCCCCAGAAGCCACAGGAGGGTGTGGGTTATCCCCAGTGGGAGGAGCTCTCTAAGCTCTAAAACTCCCCTCCCATGGGGCCTGCTCTTCTCCCTCATCTGCTCTCCCCAGAGGTTCCTCCTCTCCAGCATGTGACTCTGCTGCAGAGGGTTCTCGCTTGGTTTTCCTGAGCTTGGAACAGGGGCTTTCCCTGCACGGGTTAAATTCTTCTTCTGCTGCTGAATTTCTGTCTCCAAATGACCTGATGGGAAGCAGCTGCTGGTTCTCAGAGAGGCTGTGGGTGACACTGAGGACAGCAGCACAGGACTCTCTGCAGAGTGTTTTGGACAGTAAAGAAGATTTCTGAGCACAGCCCAAGGCCAGGGCAGATCTGTGGGGTCCTTGGGAATGGTCAGCTGGCCTCTACGCTGGCACCCAGCCCTTGGCCCTTGCCTTTGGTGGCAGGTTTGCTCTCCTGGGCACAGCTGGGTGAAGGCTGGGTACCACTGTGGGACAGTGCCATGGGCACAGATTGGCTGCTGCTGCTCTGTGTCCTGGCCTTGGGGGGCTTGTTGCCCCCACTGCTGATGTGGCTCTTGGGGCTTCCTGGGGGGCTGCAGGGTGGGCACAACACAGCCCAGCCTGGCCCATGTTGGGCAGGATCTGCTGCACATTGTCCTGGAGTGTCTGGGAGGGTGGGGAGGTTTGGTGCAGCTACTTGGAGAAAGCAAATGTTCTCACAAGCAAAGGGTGGGGTTTCCATGGGGTCTTCACTAGAAATTATGTGTATTTTGACTTAATGATGTCAGTGAATCATAAAATGGTTTGGGCTGGACAGGACCTTAAAGATTGTCTTGTTCCAACCCCCTGCCATGGGCAGGGACACCTTCCACTAGACCAGGCTGCTCCAAGCCCTGTCCAGTCTGGCACTGGACACTTCCAGGGATGGGGCAGCCACAGCCTCTCTGGGCAACAAACTCAAGAGGCTGAAGGTGCGAGGATTGCTGCTGGTTTGGGGGTGGCATCCAGGCCAACAGGGACAAGTGCAGCAAATACCTTCACAGCTGGTATTTCTCGCCACCCTGGAATAAATTTTGTTGATTCAGTCTTGGAAGGACCACGGGTGGGGGAGGGCTGGGGTGGGGGGCAGAGGTTGAACAGGGACCATAGTCCAGCTAGATTACAGTGAGGGAAGGCTCCTTGCACCTTGGAGCAAGCGCACCCTGTGAAGGGAAGATGGGGCAAGTGAAGGAGGGCGACCTCTGCCACCTCCTGGACCACCACCACTGCCTTGGCTGCTTCATGGTGCCTGGCTCAGAGCTGGAGTCTGGCACATCCATGGGAGCCTGAAGGAATCCATCACTGAGTCTCACTTGGGGTTTTCTGTTGGTTTGGGTTGCTTTTTTTTTATTTTATTTTTTTTTTAGTTTTCTTTTCTTTTTTTTACTAGCGCCTTAGTTTGTGGCCTGTCTTGTTGTGGTTGGAAAGAGTATTGCTAGCCGGGCGGGTCGGTCGGTTGGCCCCACGCATGATCATGTGCTTCCCTCTTCTCTCTGTCCAACGGGGTGTGCTCGCCTGATCTCCCAGAACAGAGACTTTGAACAATTTGTTGTTTATATGATGTATTTATTTTTACTTGTGTTTCATGTCATTTTTTAAAAAAATAATAAATTGTAAGTTGGTATAACTGCCTGTTGCATCTCTTTTTATTTCTTTTCTCCCCAGTAAAATAAATGTCAAAATGAAAAAAGGAAAGTGGTGTCGTTTGAAGTGGGTTGGAGCTGGGCTGGGCATGAGCATCTCTGCACACCTGGAGCCCAGCCTCAGCCAGCAACTGTGTCCTGCTGCTTCCAGCAGCACCTGGGCTCCGTCAACCTCGGCAGCCACCCAGGTGAGCATCCTGCCGCCTCCAGAGCAGAGGGAGGCGTCACACGGCTGGCCCTGCTTGGGCTGGCTGCTGCTGGAGTCTGGGAACCCTTGGGAACCCTGGCCCTTTCCCCTCCCTGTCCTCTGTGCTTGTTATTGCTGCTGCTGATCATCAGTCAAAGCCAGAGGAAAGCATGGAAAATAAATATTCTGCAGGTAAATAGCCTCGAGCCTGGGAGAGGCGGCGCGGGCTGCGTGCCCTGGCCCCGGTGCCCCGCGGGGCGCGGGGAGGCCGCGGGGCTGGCGGGGGCTGAGGTAGTAACAGCGCGGCGGTTCTGCACGGCGAGGCGAGAGGTGTCCCGGAGCTGGGGCCGGGAAGGCCCTGGAGAGCCCGGGGAGGGAGCTGTGGGCAGCCCTGGCTCCCTCTGCCCCTCACAGGCGCTGCGGGTGCCTCCGCACCCGGCCGTTCTTGCTGTCCGGGGACTGGTGCTGCCACTTGTGCCAGGCTCGCTGCCGCTGCCGTTCCTGCAGCCGCAGGGCATTGCAGTAGGCGTCCAGGCTGGTGCCCGGTGCCCCCAGGGCCCGCGGGAAGCCCTTGGAGCTCGGGTTCAGGTCAATCCGGGGCCGGGGGCTCTGGTGGGTCCCTCCCGGCTCAACCCCCTTGCTCCGTTTGTGCGGTGGCAGCTCCGTGGCCTCATGCCTGATGACGCGGAGGCTGTACCGGGTGAGGAGCCGGGAGAAGGAGCGCTCCACCGCCTGGCACTCGTAGGTGCCCACGTCCTCCCTCGACAGCTGGCGGATCAGCAGCCCTTGCTCCAGCACCAAGAAATGTCCGTTGTTCCTGACCTGGGGCAAAGACAGAGCTCGTGGGTCAGTCCTTGGGGATAAAAGCCACCCCTGCTACTGGTCCCTGCCGCCCTGTCCCCGCACCTCGCTCGGGGCTGTCTCCTCGCCGCGCCGCACCAGCCAGCGGATCGTGATCTGCGGGGAGCGCGCCAGGCACTCGAGGAAGGTCGAGTTCTTCTCCACCCCAAAAACCACCTTCTCCACTGCGGCTGTCCCTGTGCAGGGGAGGGGGTGAGCGCCCTGAGTGGGGGCTGTGTGACCGGACGGAGGGACGGAGGGAGGGTAGCACGGAGCAGCCAGCCCGCGGTGGGGGCACTGGTTTCCCAGCGCGGTCCCTCCTGGGCATGGCGCTCCCTGGGCACAGCTGTCTGCCCCCGCCGGAGCTGGCGCTCACCCTCTGCCGTGTCCTGGCACTGGCTGAGCGGGTCAGCTTTCAGCACGTCCTGGCAGCGGGCACGCCTGTGGGAGAGCAGAGAAGCCTGTGGGATCCCTCGGTGGCAACGCCTCAAGAAGGGGGACTAGGAAAAGGGGGGTGGCAGGCAGGCAGAGTGGCAGTAGGGGTCTGGCTGATGGGTAAAACTCCAGGGCTGCCGCTTGCCCTTCCCTGATCCGAACAGCATCACCTCGCAGGGGGATGCAGGGCTGGCACACCCACCTCTTCTCCGTGAGCAGGTGTGGGGCGCAGGTCTTGCTGTCCCAGGTGCAGTAGGGATCCCTGGCCAGGCAGCAGTCGGTGCAGGATTTGCCGTAGAGCTCGCAGCGGTACAGGGAGAGCTGGAGCAGCCCGTGGGTGCTGCTCACAAACAGCTCCTGCTGCTCGGGCAAGCGGGACAGGGGCAGTCAGACCCACGGCTGGAGACCCGGGCTGGCAGGGAACAGAGCCCTGCCCCGTGCTGGGGTGGGGACACTGGGGGACAGTAGGAGACACTGGGGGACAGTAGGAGCGCGAGACAGAGCCTGCCGTTCCCGCAACGCCCTGGCAGGATCCCGTTCCCTAAACGGGAACCAAGGGACCCGGCAGAGTGGCTGGGATCAGCTGGCCTCTATCCCTGCTCCCGGACTGCTTTTGGAAGAAGCAGAAGGGACACTCACCCGCTTTGGTGATAACTTCATGTCCAGGATGGGAGAAGGTACCTGGAGGGGGAGCGAGAGGGTGCTGCAGCCACGTCAGTCCCTCCTGGGTGCCCCACCCTACCAAGTAGGATTGTGTCCCCAGGGGTTACAGGACGCCAGGTCCCTGGTCACCGGCTCCATGCAAGGAGGCTGGGCCCTGGGCTGGTCCTCTGGCGTGGGCAGCCCAGGACAGCTCTGCCCAGCAGCCCTGCTTTCAAACCTGAGCTCAGCCCTCCCGTTGCAGTGTGGGCTCTAAAATGCAACCCACACGCCCCCTCAGGCACTGGATGGGGAGCTGGAAGATGGCTTGGCTCCAGTCCCACTGGCACCCCTCGGTGTTTTTCTGCTGCCCAGGGCGGGTGGGAGTCCCCAGCAGTGAGGTGAGAACCTCCCTGAGAGCGGCCAGTGAGTTCCTGCGGAGCCTGCACGGAGGGTGCCGCGGCCAGGGGAGGCTGTGCGCTCCAGCCCTCTCACTTCAGCCCCCGTGGTGCCACCCTGGCTGTACCTTAGTGACGCTGATCTCCTCCAGGCTGATCACCTCGGGGTCACGGCTCGCCCCGCCGGCCAGGGCCACCTTCAGGACTTTGCCGTCATCTGTGAAGGCAGCGGGCGGGGGAGCTGTCAGCGCTGGGAGCCCCCCGGGCTGGCGGGACCAGAGTGCCACACGAGCTGCCCCGGGGTGGCAGCGCTGCCAGAGCCGGGCTGAGCTCCCACCTGTGCCGAGGAAGAGCACGTCGTAGTCGCGGCTCTCCGTGTCCAGCCGGTGCACCAGCAGCCGCCGCAGCCGGTACGGCACATTGACCCGGAGCAGCACGGGCTGCCGGCCCTGCGGGTACACGGGCTCCCACATCAGCTGGTGGCTGCGCATGAAGCTGATCAGCTCGTCGGGGAAGTCCTTGGTGGACTGCAGGAGGGGGTCGTACGTCTCACTGGGGCACTGTGTGACACGGGGGCTGCATTAGGGCCAGGCCAGTCCGTCCCACTCCCCTCCAGCCGCTCCCCATTCCTTCCCTTACCGTGCCGGGGCGGGGGTAGGGGACACGGCCCTTGTATTCCACCCAGCGGTAGTCGAATCCCTCCTTGTGTGCGAAGGGGCCGCTGAAGGCAGCTCTCACGGCAGCCATGGAGTAGATGCAGACGGCAGAGCCACTGAAGACGCCGCTGTCGGGAAGCACAGGGCTCGCAGTGTCCCCGCTGCTCCACGGGGACCAGGTGTATGCACACCCACCCTCCCCAGCCCACGCTGTCCCTGCCAGCCCTGGAGTCACGCACAGCACCCAGGGGTGACAGGAGGAATCGCTTTTGCTCCTTTTTTTGGAATCGTTTTGACACAGCCAGCGCACCCTGGGCATCACTGGTTGTGCCGGTGCCAAAGCTGTGGTTTAAGGATGTGCTGGTGAGCCAGCAGCAGGGAAAGGGGGGAATGCTGGTGGCCCTTCCTCAGGGTGGTGCTGCTGCCCTCCTCCCCACAGAGATCCCTGCGGGGCAGCACTGCTGGGGCTGTCCCACACAGGGGCTGATGAAGGTCCTGCTCACCTGGAGACCGTGAAGAGCCCAAAGACAAGGGGGTTCTGGGGGTCCCTGGTGCGCAGGAGGAAAACATCCTCTGCAAAGAGAGGGGTGGAGTGAGGCACAGGATGCAGGTGGGCATCCCAGGGGCATGCTGGAGGGAACAGCCGTGGTGGAGCTGCCTTACAGGGCTGGGCACTCACCCAGCTGGTCGAAGTGGGTCTCGGTGCCCTGAGGCCCGGGGATGGAGCACACCAGGCGGGCCTTCAGGAACGTGCTCCAGCGGTTGATGAGGCTGCGCTTCCCTCCAACATCATTCTGCCAGGCACCAAGAGCCAGGATCAGTCCAGCCTCTCCACTGCTGTGCCCTCCTCATTCCCATAGAGGGACACCCCCAGCCCCGAGCTTTCTGCCTGTGGTAGGTGTGCAGTGACACCCTCACGTTCCTCTGCTTGGGGTGCTCCTTGGTCCAGAACAGGTAAATGCCCACCTGGTGGGACAACTGGCCACAGGGTTTTGGCCTTGACAACTGACCTTGCAGACCCTGGCCACCCTGGCATGGATGTGCCGCTGCTCCCACTGCCCAGCGTCCATGGCCGTCTCACGGAAGAAGATGTAGACTTTATCATCGTGGGGGTTGTAGGTATCAGGGATGGTGTAGGCACCAACAAACACGGGCTCTAAGGGGGAAAGGAGCAGCACAATGTGGCCCTGTGCCCTGATCCCATGCTGTGGTACTGCCCTGAAAGCCCTTGGGAACAGTGTGAGGCGCTGAGGGGACACAGAGAACCATTCCCAGTGCTCAGGCTGTGGAACATGTGCTGGAGCATGGGTCCCCCCAGGAGCTTCATCAGTGCCTCCCCCCAGCAAGGAGAGAGGGCCCAGATCAGAACTCCGGCCCAAGTGCTGGACCCAGCCTCTCCCCAGCTGGAAGGAGACCCCCCCATTCCCCACAGGTCCCCCTGCTCCTACCGTGTAGCCAGTGGTCCTGGTTCTGCTCCGTGCGGATGTAGCTCTGCTCGGCCCCGTGGACCCAGGTCCGGAAGAAGGCAGCGCTGCTGCCCATGAAGTCACTGGAGGTGCCTGAATACAGCTCCCCACCTGCAGGGTCAGGGGGTGTGGGTGGGAAGCAGCACCTCCCGACACAGATTATTCCCAGCACTCCCCTCCCAGCATCCCCTCTGCTCCTCACTCCCTCTTACCGATGAGGAGTCCCGTGAAGGGTTCATGGGGGCTGTAGGGGCATCGTCCTCGCCCTGATTCCAAGGAGTGGGTCACCAACTGCATGCGGGGAGCCCTGGCATCCTGCCAGAGCCAAGGGAGAGATGTCAGCCCAGGGGGAGTCTGGGA